TAGTCCTCTTTCAGTAAATGTATTTATGCATATTTTCGCTATCAGAATAGAATCAATTTCAGATCATCCTTTAAATAATGGTGCGATTTTCACGGCTTCCAGTGTGTTTGATCTATTGCCCACAAATGTTGACTTTGTGTTATGCGTTTATCAGAATATGTCAAATAATGTAGTCCTTAAACCCATTTACCGGCCATTGGAATATCTTTCCCACGCACATTACTTTTTTGGTCACAGTAGTTGCCTCACCCAAACATTAAGACACATCGCCGAGGAATATATGCGACCGCAAAGAAAGTTTACAAAGGTATCCCTTAAATCCACAAATAACTTTACTTTGAACAAGGCATGTCTTCAAAAACGCCGATGTAGGTCTGAAATCTTTAACTACTTCCAAGTTCTCCTTTGGTATATAATGGGGCGTGTTCCTCTACCGGTTTGTACTCTTACGCTCTATCCTCAGATTGTTAACTCACATGGAATTTCCGTATAAATACGAAGGTCATACAACCTGCCCAATGGAGGCGACTTGATATCCCGTAAAGTACGTTGGAACATCTTTCATTATTACTCCCAGTTTTCGTGGATTATTTATTTGGCAGTAACGCAATATTATTTAGAAAAGACAGTTAAAAATATCGGGATTTTAGGCACACTAGTTCTAGTGGACGCTAGAACTGCGTTTTGGGAAGTACTGTGCGCAAGTTACGACTCTGAATTTAACTGAGCTATGAAAAATCCTTGTTGCTAAAAGCAGCCGTGTTGCTTGCGCCCTGCTTCCGTAGATAAAAAAAAATAATTTCTCATGTTGCATTTTGTAACTCTCCCGATTCTCGATAGCAATGTAATCAGAGTAACCTACACACCGCTGCGAAACCAGCATTTAAGACAGTTTTTAAAACGGACAAACGCCAATCTACAGGCTACTGTTTCTTTTCTCTAAATGTTGAAACATTTTGACGAGTCATATTTTGAAAGCATAATAACCACGCAAAAAAGCATTTTCGGCACAGGCTGGTTGAATAAATACAGTTTTTAGCGTTTTAGTTGACGACATTTTGTTACCTAGTGTAGGACTAAAATGTGTGTGCGGGAAGGGTTTTCTTGAGTTTTCGCCCACACTGAAGTTGCTCAGCCCACTGCATATTTTAGATGTAAATGGCAAAATTGTCCTTTAAGCCTCTAAAAGTAAGATTTCGTAGGCATATTGCAAGTTACTACGCATATAATATGCACTTTGCCGTGTATTGGCAATAAGACTGGATAATGAGGTCTGTGACGTGCACTTAAATTAGAGTAAATATTGCCGAAAATAATTTTTATTTCGTTCTAAGCCAATTAAATTTGTGTTGGCTTTCAATGTTTCATTAGCCTTACTTTTCTTTTTTTTTCCAGGGGAAGCGTCGTCCTCTTTGGTCCTCTCCCAACTTGAAGTAAGCTTTTGTGTGCACTCACTGTGCAACATATAAGACTACTATTATTTTTTCATTTAAACAGAATAGTTAATGTGAAAACGCAGCGCACTGTTAAAAAGAATAGCATTTTGAGATAGATCTTATGAAAGAAAATTAAGGTTTCAAAATGACCATTTTAATCATCTAACTGTTATCAACTGCGCGTGTATTAATATTTTGGAAGAGGAAGCTACTTAGTTTTTGCTACGTAAAAGAAAAGGAGATACATAATTTTTCGAAGATTTGTTGGGTTACTAAATTTCCTATATCACTAAGAATATATTTATATTTCATGAAGTCTGTGTCTTACAAATTTGGGTAACCATTTGCAGATGCAACAAATTTCGGTGGTTTGTTATCATTTATGACTACTAGAATGTAGTGGTATGGCTTAAATAGGACCTGAGTGTACTCCAAAGGTTAATAAACCTTCCTTCAAATCATCCATTTGCCCTATTCTGAGTAAATTCGATGTACGCAAAATATCTGGAATCAGTGCTACATTATGAAAAACTCACTTGCCAAATGAGTATATTCGTTGATATACAGTGTCCCAAAAATATATACACATTTTAAATAATTGTAAACTTAGTGCTTATTATAATATAATTATTTTAAAAAGGCAAAAAGATTTACAACTGTCATCTTTT